GCAAAAACATCTGCTTGTGAAGAATAACAAATGCAAAACAGCAGGGCTGTGAGGGTTGCAGAACCCAAAGCTGAAGAGTCAGGGATTCAGGGACAGCCAGCAAAGAGCTGGGCAGCACCCCCACTCTCCAAAGCACCAAAGAGACAAGGGGGCAGGACATGCAAATGGAAACAGTCCCATGGCATCCTCAGAGAAGAATAATGCTAGCAGCTGGGGCTGCTCCAGCACGCTGAGGAGATGCAGGTGTGGAGGTATGAGTGCAAACACAAGGGGAGGATGGCAACCCAAGCCTCAGAAGAAGGGTTTTGGGTGGAGGCTGAAGCAGCACTGGCATGCAAAGATGTGGCTGGAAGTCTCTGGTGCAGCAAGGCCAGGTTGATGGGCATCTCTGCCCCTGTGCCTCACCTGGTTTCCCCTGACCCATAACTGGAGACAGACCTGTGCACTTAATATAAAATAAGGGATATTTACTTATAGGATATTTATTTTCAAAAAGTCCCTAGTAGCGCAAAGGGAAACTTCGGCATTTTATAAAAAATACATGGTTGTTTTTCTTCATACATTCTAGTCATACCACAGGCTTTCCACAAGAAGAACAAGCATTTATTTTTGTGCTGTGTGCCCAGAGCAGCTACTGCACGACCCTGCCACTGCCACAGTTGGGTGCTGAGAAGATGCTGCCTGATGTTTAGAGGCAGAATGCTCCTGGTTTTGCTGGTGGCTGTTCTGAGTGGCAGGGGCTGCAGGTCTCTGAAGCAGGATGGGTTTTTGCTATGACTCACTGTCAGAGAGTGGTATAGAATATAGGAGTATCTCTCCTAATGTACTCGGAAGCAGATCCTTTTCAGTTCGAACACTCGGTTCCTGGAACAGTTTTGTATGTGTGGCACTGGGTCTGATCTTAAGACCACCAAGACCAGCTAGTGCCTTTCTGCTGGTACTCAATCAGGCTGTTACTGAATTTAAAAAGTGACCTACATCTTTTGCTCCACATCTCAGGCTCTCCTTGCGTAACCATTCATAGGTGGTCTAAATTTACCACTGCAGTGTGAAAACCTGAATCCACAAGCAGCAGTGGGTCTAACTATTTAAGCCACTTTTTGTCCTGATTTCAAAGCCATGAGCAAGACTTGCAATTGCCAGTCTGTCAGCAGAGCTGCTCTGGTGAATATTTTCTTTGGTGACCATTTTTCTTTCTGGTTCATGGCTATACCAGCAGAAGCTATGGTGGGGACCAGCAAAAGAAATCTTTAGCAGACATTCCTTATTTTACTTACTGACCCAGATTTGCTAGCCTGTCAAAAGTGGTTTTCACTTTCCAGTGTAATTGTGTTTAGACTATGAGGCCTTTTCAAACTTGGAAGTTTTGTCAGTGGATTTCAGCCCTTTTTGGATTTTGGATACAGACAGAGTAGGGTTTTCTTCAGCTTTGTCTTGCCCTGCTCTGGTTTCTTTGCAGAGCAAGATTGTACTAGTCAGCCAGCACTTACAAGGAGTCACTAGGAAAAACAATATGACTGCAAGCAAGTTCTTGGATCTCAGTTTGTTCACCTACAGCAAGCTAGCAGGTGTGTAGAAGCATCTGCTTAGTATCTCAGGAAAGGTGGAAACTCCTTTCGAAAATGGTATCAGGCATTTTTTCCATCTCTTTTCCTTTCCTTATGAACACTCTTACTTCCTATGTAAACTGCCGTGGAATTGGCATTTAAATTAGTGGAACAATACTGCTTTGGAGCAGTTGCTATTCACGCAGAAGTGGGGAGTGGGCTTGGGGTGTGAGTCTGGGGTGACTGGCAGGCACCAGCACTTGAGGAGCACAACTCATTGCTCAGGGCAGATGACCAAATGGCATCTGGCTGACCACTTTTGTAACAAATGAGATACCTTTGTCTTTGGAGACAGCTGAGACAAACTGTTTAAACTGTGTTTAAAATGGGCTTTATTAATATAGAATGTTTAAGTTGGCAGTGGGAAGGTAACATGCTGTGTGTTACCCATTTCTGCCAGCCTTCAGAAAGGAGGTTGGGTTTTCCTCAGAGTGCAGCTGCTTACAAGTGCAAGAAATGTTGCAGTTTCTGGGATTTGGGCAGATTCACCAGGCAGAGTACACTTGGGATGCAGGAGCTGACCAGCAGTGGACCACGCACAAAGCAGAAATGCAGTGCAGGACGTGGTCCTCATGGGAGACTTCAACCACCCTGACATCTGTCGAAGAACAACTCTGCTGAACACAAACAATCCAGGAGGTTCCTAGAGTGCAAGGATGCTAACTTCCTTTTCCAAGTAATCAAGGAACCAACAAGGAGATGTGCTATGCTGGATCTTGTCCTTACCAATGAGGAAGGGCTCAAGGGCAGCCTAGATTGTAGTGACCACAAAATGGTGGAGTTCAAGATCCTTAGGGCAGCAAGGAGGGCTCACAGCAAGCTTCAGAAGGGCAGATTTCAGCCTCTTCAGGGATCTGCTCAAGAGAGCATCCTGGGATAACATCCTGGAGGGTAGAGGGGCCCATGAAAGCTGGCTGATATTTAAGGATCACCTTCTCCAGGCCCAAGAGCGTTGCATCCCAACTAAGAGGAAGTCAAGTAGAAACTCCAAGAGGCTGGCATGGATGAGTAAGCAGCTCCTAGAAAAGCTCAGACTGAAGAAGGAAGCACACAGGGGATGGAAGCTAGGACAGGTATCCTGGAAGGATTACAGAGAGGTTGTCTGAACAGCTGGGGATCAGGTGAGGAGAGCCAAATCCTTGCTAGAATTAAATCTTGCCAGGGATGTTAAGAACAATATTAAAAGCTTCTTTAGGTATGTTGGGGAGAAAAGGACAACCAAGGAGAATGTAGGCCCTCTCCTGAAGGAAACGTGTGAGGTAGCAACACAGGATATTGAGGAGGCTGAGGTCGTTCCAGTTTTGATACCAGGATTTTGTGCAGGACAGTGTCAAAGACTTTGCAGATGTCCAGATAGTTGATGTTGGTTGCTCTTCCTTTGTCCACCGATGCTGTGACCCCATTGTAGAAGGCCACCAGATTAGTCAGGCAGGATTTGCCCTTGGTGAAGCTGTGTTGTCTGTCACCAATTACCCCTTTGTTTTCCACGTGCCTTAGCAGAGCCTTCAGGAGGATCTGCTCCATGATCTTGCAGGGCACAGAAGTGTAACTGACTGGTCTGTAGTTCCCTGGGTCTTCCTTTTTTCCCTTCTTGAAAATAAAAGTTTTGTTTCCCCTTTTCCCCAAATCAGTGGGGATTTCTCCAGACTGCCAAGACTTTTCAAATATGGTGGTCAGAGGCCTTGCAACTTCTTTGGCCAATTCCTTCAGGACCTGTGGATAAATCCTGTCAGGTCCTATGGACCTGTCCACGTTCAGGTCCTTAGGACAAACCTGCTCTTCTCCTACGGTGGGGAGATCCTCCTTTTCAAAGTCCATGTCTTTGCCTTCTCTAATTTGAATGGTGTGACCATGGCCAGATGCTTGCTGCCATGAGTTGGGGTTTTGTGAATTAGGCCTTTATATATTCTGCAAACCTGTTAATATAGGTTTACTCTCCCTGCACACTCTTCATTCATTGCTACATAATAGCACGTAGCAATTTAGCTCCTTGGCAGTATATTTTAGTAAGACAGCAAAGTGTCTGTGTTTCCTTATGCTAAACAATTCAGTAGCTATACTGCAAATCTTGGTCAGGTTCTTGAATAGTTGGAGCCCAAAATCAAATTCTTAAATTCATATTTAGATTCCTACGTAGAAACTCTGATTTTTCAAATATTGAGTCCATCCTGACTCTTGCTGACTTTTTGGAAGCAAATAGTCTATTGGCATTTTTAAAATCAAGCCTGCTACTTATTCCCACGCTTGAATGGGGAAGCCAGACTATGTTTTAGACTCATTTTAATGTTTGTCTTTGTAGTATTGCACTGCCTGTTTTATTCCCTGCATTGCAATAATTCCTAGGGGAGCTTATTCATGTTGACAAACTATCAGTCTAGATTGATTAAATATCCGGTAAAAACCTTGCCAGTTTTGTGTAATTCATGCTGGAAGATGAAGAGATGCACAGAGTAGGAATGTTTCTGACAAGCCACTGTTGGGTTTTGTTACTCATTTTGTTGGTTTTTTTTCATAAAAGGGCAGGCTATAAATACCATCTTTCCTAGAGCATATGCTTCACTGCCTGTGCGTGACGACAAACCTGAGTGAACTAGAGTTCATCAGAAGGGCTGATTTTCCCCTCAATATTATTGGGAGCTCTTCAGTGCCTCTTGGTGAGGTTTTTCTTCTGTGTGTCCGTGCAATAAGATTTCCTTTCCTTTCTCTATCTAATTTCAAGGAAAGGCTGATTCATTACTTTAGGCACTGAGCTAAATGCTTTTCTCTGGACCATTTTAAAAGAAATCATTTAAGCCTCGAATGCTTGTGCTGGCTTCAGCAGCAGATGTGTGAAAGAGTGGGCGTTCACTTTGGTTCTTGCTGCTCATCCTCAAGAAGAGGAGGCTATCCTTAATCTGTGGGCTCAGAAGTACAGCAGAAGGACTTTTTGACCTAAGATAAAACAATGACAAAGCCATTCTTGTGGAAGCACAGCATACAGGCACTTCGGGATACTTCTGGAATATATTAGTGGGGATAACTTACTCTTTCTTTTCAAAAGAAAATCATAGCAATGCCTTTAGAAAAAAAAAACAACAAGTCTTGTGTTATGAGGGAAAAGGGTAATATTTTAAAGTTGTTCAATTCAGAAGGCTCTGGAATAGGAGAATTTGACATACGGTAAAATCAGCAGTGTGATCTGACATGATTGCAAAGGTGACTTTAAAAGACTTTCTCATTTTGGCTCGGAGATCTTTAATTTCTTCTATTCAGATTCCCTGATGGATCAAGATTTCCAGCATTTCCAGTAATCAATATGCATTTTTTTTCTCAAAGGCTGGTCCTGGGAAAAGAATTTTGGTTTAGTGACATTATTTGTCTGAGACTGACTACACGTTTCCATTCCCTTTGCAGAGGCACAGCAATAGCTGGAATTGTGTTCGGGATAGTATTTATAATGGGAGTGATTGCTGGGATTGCCATCTGCATCTGCATGTGCATGAAGAACAACCGTGGGACTCGAGTCGGGGTTATCCGAACGACGCACATCAACGCTATCAGCACGTACCCAGGTGAGGAAGGGCAATTACAGCCCTGCCAGAGGGCCTGCACTCGTGGTAGGAGTGTGTCTTTGGGTAGTTTTGGCTCCACAGTAAACGAGAGCTGTGAGTACAGCAGGCTGCTCTTCTCTGTCCGCAGGGGAACGGCACAACTCCCTGCTGAGGAAGGCACGACAGCTCAGTGCACAGTGCTCGTCAGCGCAGCGCTCTGCCTGGGCTCATTAACTCAGCTGCTCAGCGGGCTGATGGGCTCTGCCCGGGTGCCGCGCGCCCGCAGCTGCACGTTCAGACCTCGCGCAGGGCGGTGCTGCATCGTGCCGGATGGACCTTCTCTCTGTGCCAGCAGCTCCCTGGCAATGGATCAGTTGTTCTTCTTTTGTGTTCTGGTTCTTGTATTTGCTCTCATTCACATGCAGTTGGCTCCCTTTCATTGTCCCATAGAACAGGGCCCCAGCATACCACAGAGAGGGGAAAACCTGGACACCAAGGTGTGTGGATCGTAGTGCAAAGGCTTTGAGTGGTGCCCTGTGGAGTCTAATGCAGCCCAAGATGGCTGGTCCTCAGGCAGAGCTCACAAGCCCTGCTGGGTGCTGCACAATCACAGATGACTTCTAGCAGGCGTCTTTGCAGTGTGTTCTCTCCTGTATCCCAGGAGTGACTGCTGGCTGGCACAGGGTGCTGCATCCAAGCTACCTCTCTGCATCCACCTGGCACCATGCCTGAACTGATAGGGATTTGGAGCACAGTGCAGAGATGCCTGTTGTGCCTCGGTCTAAGTTAGCTGAGATCTGGCAGTGCTTGTTGGCTCTAGCTGAGTGTTGGACATGCTCAGTGCGGGCTTGTCTGTGGCTTTACATGGTTTTGGTGTAATAGTTTATCAGGTGCAGTGCAGCACCAAGGGAGGCACAGAGCCTAAGTCAGATCTGGGACCATGCTAATAAGCTGTCACAGGCTCTTGGGCACCCCAGGGGACAGCAAGGACCCCTCATGGGTCTGCTCCAGTGCAGTTATACCCACAGCAAGTTGGAGGTGGGACATCAGGCTGTACCTGAGCTAGCTCTGTGCAGAGCCAGTCCTTGTATCACACTTGTCATCTCATGCCTGCCTAAGACTGCAGTACAGGAGGACCAAAGGGGGTCTGCACGAAGCCAGCTGAGGTCTGCAAGGTTCATTTGTCTGGGCTCCCCATCACATGAAAGTGGCCAAATTGTTGAAGAGCAAAGCTGACCCTCCAAGCAGTATAATGGTGTTTTACAATGCAGCTGTGTCTGCTTCAGTGACATTGTTAATAACCAGTCTAGGAGAGACTGCCTTGGGATAAGTTGAGAGTTCACTGTAATAAGAGGCAATGGTGTTTCATGGGCGAAGTCCCCTCATCCCACTCTTTAGCGATCCCCTGCCTTTATATTCCCTCCTGTTGCAAAGGTTGAAGCAAACCCTAGGTAAAATATGTGTACTTATAGGCAAGCTATGCAATATTTATGATGTGTTCCTGTACCACATTCGCTGCTCTGAGTGTCTGTTTTCTCCCTCATGCTCTTACTTTCCGGTTAAACTACAACCATCTATTATCATCTTTATCATTGCAACGTTGTTTTGCATAGAAAGATGAGTAATGAAAGAAAACTGCAATATTCTCGGCAATGAATTGCTGAAGAGATACTTCAGAATCTAATAGTCACTGCAAGCTCTAAAAACAAGAGCAAAATGAAGACTCCAGAGCTGTAGTCCTTTCCTCCCCTGGTCTGCTTCTGCAGTGCCTCACCCCTGTCTCTGCGCCTCCAAGGAGTTTGACTTTGCACACTCCCTATTCCTGGTGCAAACATTTGTTTGAGCAATTCTTTCTCTCAGCAGCAGCAGTTTTTTGGGGAGTGGGAAAGCTCTGAAATTATTTTTGTGTTCTCTGTTGTCATGAACACTTCTGGAATAATGACTGACCTGGCTTTGGCTGCAGGGTTTGTGACCAACTCCTCCCTCTGCCATTACCTGTTTCGGACAGGAATGGCAAGCAAGGGGCTGCCCTTCCTTTGGCCTCAGCCACAGTGGTAGCCAGGTTTTCAGAGAGCAGGGAGTGCTTTTTCTGGCACATTGGGATTTGATTCTCTTCCCCACATCACAAACATCCTAGATTTCTGTTTCCTCTCTATTCAAGTGTTTTTTCACTGCCATTCTGCTTGAAATATCTAGGGAGTAGGTAGGAAGGCACCCATGGTGACATAAAGACAGACATGAGCAGACTCAAGCTTAAAATTTTAAAGTCTACTCTAATGAGGTCTTGATATGGAGCCTTCAGTTCCTAGCATGCTATCATTCTGCAGCATATACTGTCTTGTTGATCACTGAATAAATCCTTTTTCTCTAAGATTAGTAGAAGTAGTTGAGAAAATGTTTTCACCTGTTTGTGAATATTTTGGTTTCTAAATGCCTGACGCAGTTTACAAACGCTGGGCTCTCCTCAGCTGTCTCCTTTGGAATGAACAAGGTGAAAGCTCTGTTCTTCCTTAACCCAAGCCCTGGGAATGTCTTGGGATGATGCCTGGCGTTTGCCTTTGGAAGTATGATGCTGCTGTGTTTGGCATGACGTGGCATGTCACACATCATATCTCCTGGGGATCCAGAGGATATTTAGGTGGTCTATGGAGATCAGCAAAAGCCCTGACTACCTCATCATTTCAAGAGAACATAAATCCATTTTGCTGCCGAAGCAGATGAAAGGGAATGGATCTGACAAAAGCTCAACTTTCCTCTTCTGAAAAAGTTGAGCTGTGCTACATTTCCCTGGTACTATCTGCCAAATGGCTACTCAACTCTGTTACCAGCACAACAAGTCAGTGGGCACATGGCTAAGCACAGAAGGAAAGAGCAATAAGCAAGGACTTGCATTGACACAACGTGACTGTGTAATGACAGTCTGAAAAAAAAAAGTGAGCATATTGCCACTTTGCATCTGTTATATGGAAGTCTGAATGTCAACAAAAACATATCTGAGGACCTGCATCTGAAAAAAAGATTTTTAACTATGTCTTCTTTTTTCTCTAATTTTAGTGGCTCCACCACCATACAGTTATGAATACGAAATGGAGTACCCAGCTGACCTACCTCCACCTTATACTCCAACGGCACAGAATTCAATACAATATCCCCCGCCCCCTCCTTACCCTGGATATTCTGGGAAATAATTATGTGGCTTCACACAAATATTAACTGCCTGCACCGTTGGGACAAATATTATCAGCTCAGGGACAAACTGGACAGGGTCTGCATCAACACATTATGGCCAGGTGTTGAAATAACCTGGGAGGGTTGCCATGGCTCAGGTTGAAGAAAAATACTGTCCACTCTGGACTACCACGTTTCATGATTAAGCAAAGCGTGACCAAAGAAACAGTTCCTGTAAGTCAGTGCCTGATGAGTAGTTCTTACCGTCAGGGCTTCACTTCATCTGCAGCCCAGTACACCATGTGGGAGCGAGGTCTTTCCATGTAAGAACATGGAAGAGGCACAAATGGCTCAACAAGCTGTTTTGAAAGCACAAGAAGCAGCTGCTGGGGTCTGTTTTGGGGGGAAACTCCAACTGTTGTCTTCAAGCATGTGTTACGCCTTTTCTTTAAATGAGGGGAATAAGAAAGAACTAGGGGGGCTGAAGCTATTTTCAGTTTCTACTTCAGGTTGATAATACCTGACTATCAGCTGTATTGGTCTGATAAGCATATTATCAAGAGAAGTGCTGCTGGAGTTATTCAGTAACCAAAAAATGATGGATGTTATTTTTTGCCAAGTGTAGGTTGTTTTAAGTGCCTACTTTTAAACAGTTTGAGACTACTTTGTGACCTGTAATGTAAACATAAAGAGCATTTTTATATGTTAAATGCACTAATTTATAGCTGATTTACCTGGATTTACTGTATACATTGGACATATGCTATAATGCCTTTTTTATCAGCAAGAGATATTTTCATTTTTAAAAAAAATACTGAATCGGGAAAACTCACAAGTGGGAGAAGAAATACAAGCCAAGTATTAAAGCATCATAGAATTATCTTCAATTGGATTTCATAAAGGCTATTTTAAAAATAAAACTCATATTGTTTACCAGTAATAATTATATTCTGCCTAACTAAAGAGGTGAGCAGAGAGACTGTAAACATCAGATTGCATTTGAATGTTGTCTTGGACATTTCAAAACTGTTAAGTCACCAAATAATGTTTTTTGCATTTGTCACACATTGTTCAAAGTGACTCAATCTCTACTATGTAAAGTACAGGCCTTCATGATTTGAAAGGTTCCATATCCTTACAGAACTCACTGGAATTCAGCAGCAGCTATTTGACTTCACAATAGAGTATCCCATTACCTAAAGCATCATACTTCAGTGGTAAGACTAGTATTTTTCTCAGTTTTACATGCAAACCACAACAACAGTGGTTCTCTTTGGGGATGTAAAAATGCTGAACACCCTTAGCTTGAGTTGGGTGGCTGGCAGATTGAGAATGCTACAGCCAAAATACTGGAAGGTGACAAAAAAAGTGGCATCTAGAGTTCAAGGCGTGGCATCAGCTCCATTTCAGAGGAAAAGACCAGAGCATACCGCTGATTCCCAGAGATCAGAAGGCATTGAAATGTTTTCCAGTGTAGCCCTCATCTTCTTTCCAGGTGAGGTCAGCTGACAACCTCTCCTCACCCTCTAAGTGTGATATTTTTGGCATTCAGTCCTGATTCAGAGAAGAACTCAAGCAACCTTTCCACTTTGAGAACAAAACTTATTCAGAGGCTTTCTTGTGAACAAGACCTCATTGACTTTTCTTGCCTAGGCTTTGTAATTGCATTTGTCCTTCCCAGGCTGACTAAGCGTATCCTTTTGAAACCCCACTTGAAAGAGCAAGCGGCCTCACTGTAAGTTCAGAAGACCTGTGTTGTGGCCCTTGGCCAAACTGAGCTTTGAGTCATGGGCTCATTAGCTACCTAGGCATTTGTAAACCAATCAGATGAAAACTGAGCTGTGTCACAGGTTTGGTTGCTGCTGGCACCTTGGAGTCTTCTCTATGGAAGGAAAGTTATATACCGATTTCTGTCCTAAACCAGGTTATCCTTACAATTACTGATGCTCTGGGCTGTGTCCTGTGACATTTCAGCTGGTCCCATGACCTCTCAAGAGACATATTCCTCAGCTAAAATCCTGTTATGAAGGGCAACCTTCTGTGTGCGGTGTTTTGGCAGTCCCTACTGAAAACCATCTGCCAATGCAGTGGCCAGCATGAAGAACAAAATAAACAGTCTTCTCTGGGAAATCCTGTTCCTGCTACATTGTTCTACAATAGTACCTCAGCACTTTCCAGTTGATCACACTGGATGATATTTCTGTGTCAAAAAGTTACCTAGAGATAAAGAGTATTGTCATTTTCCCCATTCTTGTATTTCTTTTCTTTGTGCTGCACAAGCAGACACACAAATCAAAAAGCAGTTTGTATTTGATGAATCCAGTCTCCTGAAAAATACAAAGAAAGAAAACTATTCTATAGATCATAAGTCTTCCCTTAGTGGAAGAATCTCTTCAGCCGTGACATTTGTCAGAACAAGTTATAAAGCAGATTTCTTAAATAAAAAGACATTTCTGGAAAATAACTAAAAGTCTTTCATCACAGAGTCCCCTGGTTTTTGGCTTTTTTATTGTGTGTTGCCTCTGATGGTACTGCATGAAGGTCATGGTGACCAAAGTACCTACAATGTATATATGGCTTATTTCAGGGGAAAAAATGTGGAAATAGGATATTGAGAGTTTAATAGTGATAGAGAGCTACTTGTTTGTTCTGAAAACGCTAGTGAGGATGCCGATGTTCTGCAGATTCGTGTATGTTGGACCATACCATACAATCATGGAATCAGAGTCTCATAGAATGTCTAGGGTTGGAAGGGACCTTAAAGATCATCTAGGTCCAACACCCCTGCCATGGGCAGGGACACCTCCTACTAGATCACGTTGCTCCAAATCCCATCCAACCTGACCTTGAACACTTCCAGGGAGGGGGCATCCACAGCTTCCCTGGGCAGCCTGTGCCAGTGTCTCAGCACCCTCATGCTAAAGGATTTCTTCCTAATATATAATTTAAATCTCCCCTCTTCCAGTTTGAAGCTGTTCCCCCTTGTCCAATCACTACATGCCCATGTAAAAAGTCCCTTCCCATCTTTCCTGTAGGCCCCTTCAGGTACAATGATGTTTATCTCAAAGGACATCACATCTCTTGTCCTTGCCAAGGGTATAAAACATAAAGGCATCGCCCTTCCGTGAAACCAGGTAAAACTACTACAGAGCAACCTCTTTTCAGAAAGAGGTGACGATTGCATTGAAAATAAGCAAGCAAATTGAGACAGCCAAAGAGGAGGAGGGAGTCAGAAAGATTTGCAGAAGTAAAATAATAGAACAAAGAAGTTGCTGCATAAATTAGTGGAAGCATTTACTAATACTAATTTTTTATTAGTTGAATTTAATTGAAAATGTTGAAGTGTTGTTATACTTAAAGTGTTATTTTCTTTGTGTGGAAACATGTACTTTATACAACACCCCCATATTCAGAGTTTCTGCAGTGCAGATAATTGCTGGCCAGTAGTCATTTCTTCTGTTTCACATGAATAGCTTGCAGATGAGTGGGTTAGTACAAAGAGTTTTTACTTAGTCACACAAAATTATTTTAGTCTCATGCCCTACATTGTACTATAAACTGAGAAAAAAATACAAAAGTGTTATCTAAGGCTGGGAAAGGCTGAACAATCTTTTGCTTTTATCACCTGGGAGGGGACAGTATCCCTGATACTGCCCTGGCCAGTTCCTATACTAGGACCACATTCTACTGGTTTTCTTGTGGTCCTGGGTTGCTCTGCCTGTGGCTCACAATTTCTAGGCTGAGCTGGGGAGGCAGACTGGGAAGGTCACCATGTCAGGAATACAGGACCAGGTCCCATGAGCCTTTCTCCTTGGTTTCCTAGTTTAGCACATCAGATGACTGCCTGGTTGCACGCCTGCTGTTATGGATTGGAAGCAGCAGGAGATGCAGGTGCTTACAAGGACACATATGCTTACATAGACTCTGGTGCCAATCCTCTTCTGTGGAAAAAAAAAATAATAAAAAAAAATTCTGCGTGATGTCTTAGTTAATCATGTATTGGGGATTTTTCAATGATGATGATTCATTTTGCAAGCTTAATTTAACCTGCCATTTCTTTACCTTTTTCTGGCCCCACCCCCCCCAAAAGGAGCTACTTCCAAACAAGTTGTCTCAGTTGTCTCTTGAAATAGCCTACTGTTTCTAGAGTATATACCAAACAGCAGGAGAAATGTATTTAAGAGCTAATGACCCATTTAGGAGACTTTACAAATTAGGTAATAAGCAGTTGGCGGAGTTAAAAGGCCAAGGCAAAGCCAGGAGAAGTTAATGTGCTAGGCTGCCATTACCTAAATGATACGCTCTGATGAAAGGATCATTAATGCTATTATAAGCTTTTTTAATTAAAGAAAAATGTTACTATTTGCTTTTTTAATGTTGTTAACTTTGAAAGATGCAGTTTTGTCAGTGTACCAGACCAGATTTTCAATAGTGCTGCAATGAAAAGATTAGATTGCTCCATAGAGCACCTGGGTCGATATTAACAGTGTTCTTGGTATAGTAAAAATGGAGTCTTTCAATTTAAACCAAGTGTTCTCAAAACCCTTTGTGAAACCACAGTGATATTTTTTGGATGTAATGGGATCATTCATAAAGCACTGATGGCTATCTATTAGAATAGTAAATGTTTGGCATTTCTGTATTCGCTTTCTTCCTGGAAGCTCTCCAAATGCTTTTGTAACTAGAAAAATAATTATTTTAGCCACCTTGGTGTAAAACACAGTAATAGTGTATGACACTCCAAGGGAGAAATTGCACAAAAGAATTAAGGTAAATTGAGTATATTCCTTCAGTTTCACTAAAACATCTGTGTTTGGACAAAAAAACATGAGAAAATAACAACCAGGACCATTTATCAAGTGGTCCCTGTTACTGCTTTCCAATGGGTATGCTCAGTCTAGTGGTATTTTTTATATTGCAGCAGTGTCTGACATCTGAAAAGCAGAGTCCCTGTCCAATCCCAGACTGCAGTGCACCCGTTGTAAAAACACCACTCCCATTCTGTCATGATTTTGGACTG